TTTTTTTTTTTTTTTTTTTTTTTTTTTTTTTTTTTTTTTTTTTTTCTTTTTTCTTTTCCTCAATTTTAATTGCAAAGCGCAAAATTATAGCTGGGAAAAATAATGGAGAGTAATAAATGTCGGTGATAAATACGGCCCGGAGGGCGTTACGATGCTATCCGATTCAATTTTCGTTCAAGGAAAACGACTGCCTGATCCAACGCAATTGCGATGCACTCGATTTCCACCGCACTCTTTCGACTCGCCGCGTGACGCGTATTCGTATACTCGCGGCGTTGAAAAATCGCTCGATATCGGTGAAAATAGACTTTCCTCTCTTTCTTTCTTCCTTCCTTCCTCTCCTCCTTCCTTCTTTACGGAAAAAACGGAAAGGAAAGGCAAACGGCTCGGTTTACCTCCGCGATTCTCGACTCGATCCGGGACTACTTATTATTCCCTTTGGGGAAACAGAACAGAAGCCGAACCGTTTCTCCTTAAAACGTATTTAAAACTAAATCGCTGTCCTCCTCGTTCGAAATTTCAATACGAATTTTTCGAAATTTCCAACGAAGGGAGGCGATTATTCAAAAACTTTCCTGTTCCTTGAAAACCTTCCTCTTCTATTAGAAACAAGAATAACAGTAATAACAGTAATAATAATAATAATAATAATGGAGAGATAGGTAGACGGTAGATCTAGAGAGCTTGGCCGTTACTCGGTTTCGCGAATGGCACGAGAGGCGGCCGACGTACGGAACGTATCCAGGAACAATGGGCTATAATTAACCTTAGGGTTAGAAAGCGAGGGCTATCTACAGGCGTCACGACATATGGCGATAAAACGAGGCGACGCGTGGCTCGTAGATCGGCTCGAGGAGGCTCGCGCCCTCGTGTTTATCCCAATGCCAGCCGCCGGGGTATATTTTTAGCGCAACCCGTTACAGTTGACCGCGACGCGTCCACTCTCTCTCTCTCTCGTCACCGACGCGTCGCCGTCGACGTCGTTCCAGCCCACGATACGATACGATACACGGAACAAATCCACGGATCGTGCGCCATCCATTCATCTCTCTCTCTCTCTCTCTCGAGGCTCTTCGATCCTTCGCCCCTCCTCCCCCGAAGGCGGATAATTGCCTTGCCTCGAGAGGGAGAGGGAGAGGATCCCCGTTTGTTATCGCCGAATTATACCTGGAACGGTGGCTAATAAGAACGATTGGAATGGCTGTGCGTGGATCCGGTTCGGTGGAGACGGAGGCAGAGGCGGGGTGGGGGAGGGAACGGATATCAACGATCTACTAGGTCTTGCCTCTCGACCTTGCCTCCCGGTCAGTCCAGCTTCAAATGAATCGTAATGAGACGGTGCCGCTTGATTCGCTCGATCCGACGAGCTTTGTGGGAGAGAAGAAGATTTCCACTTTCCCCTTCTCGTTTCGAAAAGTTTCTCTCATTCCTCCTCCACCCCCTCTTTTCTGTTCCAGTGTGCCAAAGCATAGACATAAGAAACGCCGTGCGTCACTTCTCAAGACTGAAGGGATGCCGACTAGTCGAAGGATTCGTACAAATTTTGCTGATCGACAACGCCGAGTCATCCGAGTACACCAACATCTCTTTCCCGGAGCTGAGAGAGATCACCGGATACCTGCTTCTCTATAGGTATCCTTTCTATCCAACGTTATATATAAAACATATCGTTTCGATTCGATTCGTTCCGCGTGCGAACCGCGCGGAGGATCGAAGAGGAGGAGGAGGAAAAAGGAGGAGGAGGAGGAGGAAGCCGGCGAGATTTGGAACCGTTTCGAGCTAGAGAAACCCGTTCTTACTATTATACCAGGGTGTGGAGGGACGGGTGTTTTTACGACGGTTCGTCAAACTTTTCCCCGTCGATCTCGCCGGCTCCTCGACACGGCGACACATTTTACGAGCGCGCGAGGCGGCAAAGCACGAGATGCTCCCGTTCGCGCACCTCCTCCCCTTCTCTCTCTCTTTCTTTGTCCCTCTCTCTCTTTTTAGGGTAAAAGGATTGCGCAGCATCGGTCGCCTGTTCCCCAACCTGACCGTGATCCGTGGCCACTCTCTGTTCATCAACTACGCCCTCGTGGCTTTCGAGATGATGAATCTGCAGGAGATCGGGCTGCACAGCTTAACCACCATCGTGAGGGGCTCCGTCCGTTTCGAGAAGAACCCCGCGCTCTGCTACGTGGACACGATCGACTGGGACCTGATCGCCAAGGCTGGCAAAGGGGAGCACGTGATCGCGGTAAGTTGATCCGAAAATAACGAACCGGAGGGAAGGGGAGGGGAGGGGAGAAGGAAGGGCGTATTATTCGACGACGAACGAACGAACGAAGGAAGGAAGGAAGGAGAAGAGAGAGAAGAAGAGATTCGAACGGAATGGAAGAGGAGAGGGAGGGCATTTCAACCTTTGGGGGGAAAGTATCGTCCCGATATCTATCCATTTATATACGTTGGCACGGGAATCGCCGTGGAAGGGAGAAGATAGAGAGGGAATAGCGGCTAATGGCGGCGCCTTGCGGCTGGCCAACTCGACACGCCGCCCCGTCTTCTTGCCAGAAATTCGAGCATATCGAGATTGGGGGGAGGATATAACAAGGGTCATTATTCCATTCTACAACGGAGCAACGAACAAACGAGTCTCCCCGAGAGTTTGGCATCCGTCCCCGCATCGGTAAACAATCGCGCCCTAATAAATAATCCGAAGAATATATCCGGAATATATTCGTATCTCTCTCCCTCTCGAATTCGAAACTCCTTTCCAGGAGGAGGGATGCCCTTCTGGATATTCGATTCGAGCGGGGGAGGCAATAATATCAGCCGTTTCGGTGTAAATCAAAGGGAATCACAATCACGGCTGCTGGCTCACAGCTCGCGACGCGCCACTATTTCTGGCCGGCAGACCGACCGACTGTCCTCGCACCGCGGGATAATAATATCGTCATCTCGTTCGCGAAGAGGTGAACCGGGAGGGAAGGAGGGTGGGGAGGAGGAGAGAAGTCGTTCCCGTTGCCCAACGGTATAACGCGACGACCTATCGAGATTTTCGCCAGGACAGGCCGCGATTTCACGCGTGGTCTTGAAATAAATCGGAAGGGACTTCGTACTCGGAATAAAAATCATCGAATCAGAGATTATTTCGTAAAAAATTTATCGTAAAAAATCTATTTTTGCGAGATCTATTGTTCGAGTTATTTTTTAGGACGTTTTTTTCCCCCTCTGATATTTTTCTTTTCTTTTTTTTTCTTTTTTCTCGAAAGGAGATTGTTATCCTTCGCTTTCACGTCGGCCGTTTTATCCGTCAAAATAGGAATTCGCTTTAACGTTTAACCGGGCGTGCACGGTCGCGAAAACGTCGGCTGTCGGTTGCCGCGCGCGGAAGACAAAACACCGGCTGGCAAACGCGACACAATGTTTGGTTCGAGTACACAACGAGTGACGAGTGAAAATAAAGCAACAATAATTCCTGAATGCAACGCGTAACGCGCAGCGTGTACAAAATGCTCATCCCTGTCTTCTCTCTGAAAGCTCGATGCGTAACACGAGAGCCGAGTGTGTATAAAGCGTGCATGTGCACGCGTGTATATGCCGTTGGTCTTATTGTCCGCGACGACGCGCGAGCGATGCCTGCAAACGGTCGCCAATCAACGAACAAATCTATCGCGGTAGTTATTCGTGGATAGGGGAATTCGAATCGTTGACTCGATCGATAAAACAGGAACGAAATGGGTCGTGACTCGATTACACCGAAAGAAGAAAAATATCCTTCTTCGTTGTTTCTCGATTCGTTTCGAAACGTTTTCGAAATGTTTCGAAAAAAGTGGAGGAAAGGGGAGGGGAAAAAAAAGAATAAAAATGAAAAAAAGTTTGAAAGTTGTAGAGTAAAACCGAAAGTTAACCGAGACCATCGAGTCGAAAGGCAAAACACGAGCGTGACGTACGAGCGCTCGTAACGCGAATTGCAACCGATAACGAGGCAGAACGACGCACTCGAGGATCACGTGTTTCACATTTTGGAAACGAACGAGTGCTCCCTCTCGACAGTCAACTGCTTCACTGCAAATTCGTGGACGAAGAACGCGGCTTCCCTGTTACGTTGTTGCACGCTTTCAATTGCGTTTTTTTTCCAACTGCGAATTTCAATCTATTTTCCGACTATCCGGTATCGTTGCTCGAATCTTGTAGCGCACGAACGTTGGCCTTACTTCGTA